ACACCTGACAGCATCTGTCTTCATAGCCTTGTCTTGTTGGCCAGAGGGACAAAAGCAGAATGTATAACACTGCTGAAAACAGATGTGAATAATTAGTTTTGCAGTGGGGCCAAAGCAGGTTTGTTTTTAGCTACATCCACTCTCAGCCTGTCACTCTTCTGTTTCCGATGGTCACTGTCTCTGTGAAGCGCCTTTGCTTTGCAAGTTGGCCTCATTTCTTACAAAGCTCATTTTGTCCCTAAGTCTAAAGTTCTTTCAGTTTCTGGTTTAACATCATGTAAGTCCCGTTTACCTTTGTTCTAGAGACGAAAAAAGGGGAAAAAAAATTAGTTTCTCTGTTATTTTTCCTTGTAGAATCTTTGCTGGAGTTGCTAGGGAAGTTTTTAAGGTGGAATCCATGCTTTCCAGCCATGTTGCCATTAAGAAGGTCACAGAGCTCATCAGCCTTTCTACTGTCTTATTTTTGGAGCTAAATGAAAAGTTAAAAGGATGTAAAGTCTATTCCACTTTTCTTTGCATATTTACAATATGTTAATAATTGCAGCTAATGTTCTCAAAGTTAGAGTTATTATTTCTAATGGCTCTTGATTTGAAGCATTATGGTATAGCAGTCAGCTTGTCATGGCTTTGACAAACACTTTATCGTTCTATTTAAGGAAGCAGTTTTAATCTTCAAAGAAAAGGGCTTAGTTAATTTAGAAGTCAAGCAGAGAGATGGCAGTCATATGAGCTTTTATCACAATAGATATTCATAAAATATCCCCCATAAGATAGTAAGCCTTAGGGACAGATGGAATAATATAACATTCCCTCTTCTTTTCCTCCTGCACATGTCTACTCCCACTGAGGATGGTCATTAAAAGTAAGGGCTTGTAAATTCAAAGCCACCTGACCTGCCATAAAAAATACGGGTTTTTAAGGACCTCATGTAGAAAAGAAGATCAGGACTGTTCTTTAGTAGGTACTAGTGCCTTTAAGGGAGCTGATTCAGCTAAGTTTGAGTTAATATTCCTGAAGTCAGAGAAAGAACTGTCTTAGTCTCAGAGCAATTATTAAATGCTATTACCTTTAGATTTGCAATCTGATGGCAGAATAATGCAGCCTCCTGGGGGAAGGGGGAAAACTCCAGTATCAGGGATATTTAAAATGAGACTGAATAAAAATTGCATGAGGTCCTATATGCAGCAATCCATTAGTACTGCACTGCAATAAGACCTATCTCATGCCTTATGTTCCTTTTTAGAGAAAAGGAATTTTGGCCTTAACGAAGGCTACTTTGTCATCATGATTATGGAGCTATTCTTGAACTCCATGATTATGGAGCTATTCTTGAACTCCTATCTGTCTGATTCTTGTAGCCATCACCACTTTTGCCATTTTCATCCGTGCTGACAATTCCCAGCCTTTTCTTCATAGTACCCTAGAAAGCCATCAGCAGTGCTTCAGTCTGCTGGGCACATATCCATAAGAAGTCATGAGGGCATTTATATACTTAACTCCAGGAATTGGCTGTTTCTCTTCCTACCCTCTTACTCCACCTCTCCTAAATGATAGGCACCTCATTTTTATCAGCTGTTTTCTGGGCATTTAAATTTCTATATATGTGTTCGCAGAAATGCCAATCTTGACATACCTTTGTGTAGCTCAAAAGCTGTTCTGTACCCGACCAGGCTGGGTACAGCCCCAGCCCAGCTACCCAGCCTGCAGCAGCGAGCACAGACAGGTGAGATCAGGGGGGCTGGAGAGTGGCTTTATAGACACACTCGCAGCAGCAGCCCCCATTATTTCACTTTCCTGCTTGACCTTGGAAATTTGTCTACTAGATCATGAGTGTGTTAGTCCTTCAGGAATGAAGGCAAATCCATGTAGACCGTATTTCTACAGGATTGATGGTGCTTAGTGCTTGTCCTGTGTGTAACACAGACCATTGCAATTCCTGCAAGCAGCCTTATGCTGAGCCAAAGGATTTTAATGGACGCAAAGCATCTGAGTCCTAAAGAAGCTGAACTGTTTGCCAGCTGTGGAGGAGAAAAAAGACTAATGTGTTATTAGTGCCCAAGCCTTGTGCAAGGTGAAGGAAATAATTCAAGTGCAGATTTTTCAATGCACCGAGCGTGCCCACGAAGTAGTAGGAGGTGAAAACACATTAACCAAAACCCAGGAGGAAATTTCCCTCCCAACCCAAAACAGGGTGAGCATTGTGACCCTGTGCGTGCGATCGTCTCCTCCACTTTAAAAGGCTTCCTGGTATGTGATTGAGACACAGACACATTAGTGGATAGGGAAGAAAATCTCTGGTCACAGCCAGATCCTAGAGGTATATTTGCTCTGTATCCTGGCAAAGTCTTTCAGTGCAAATAAGAAAGATCTCCTGTAATAAATGAGCAGTTTTTAAGAAGCTATGTTTGAGGTTTTTCTTCCTAAAGTAATCATGCAGACCCTTCTCCATAACAATTCCATTTTTGGCAATTCTGCTTGAAGAATCTTTCGTATGAAATGGGAACGTTTGGAGCGAATAATTTAATTTGCTTAACTTAAAGAGGTTCCTACTATATTTAATTTTAAGCTGATTCTTGCTAATTAAAGTTCAAGTCACTCTTAAATATTTAGCCTCGTTAAATGAAGATCCAGGAAAGAAAATGTAATAATCTTTTCCTTTTTTGCTTTACCTGATACATACATTTTTGAGTTGAAATTTTGGAATACCGACTTAATTTGAGCTACCAGCATGAATAATTTCCAGGATGTCAAGCACAATTTAGTATTTTAAATTGAAAAACTCAGTCAATTAGTTCTGTATTATTTTAGAGACTTTCCTTGTAACAGTTTTCCTGAGGGACAGAAGCAGGGGAGAATCAAATTCCATGTTGGTCAAGTGATCACCCGTATAAACGACCAGTTAATTATGCAACCTACATATTTTTCCACACTTGAAATAGTAGAGAGTTTTTTGAGGATATGCTTGCTGAGGTGTTTTGGTAACTTGACCGGGTTGGCCTGTATCGTCAAACTTGTGCACTTAGAAGGCAGGAGTATGAGATCTGTGTTTAGTTTCAGGATTTCAGTGGGATGAATGGTTACGCAGCTGACCGTGAAAATCAGACCATTTTAGGGGACTCTCCCACTGCAGTCAGTCATCCAGTTCCCATGTGGCTGAGCTTGAAAATGTGAACTTGATGTCTATCTCATAAGCAAGTACTGGCTGTTTTCTCATCGGTTCCCTCCTCTTATTTCTTGTCTGGCAGCTATTCATGTTCAGCTGATTTTCTTTTTTTTTTTTTTCAGCCTAACTAACTATGACACCAGATAAATTAGTGAGCATTTTGTCTCCATGATTAATCAGTGAGCTTTCAGTTTTGGCACTGTGTTGTAGCATTGCTTAGAGGATAAATAAATAAATCAATCAGATATTCCTGACAACTGTAAAATGATTAAGCAAAGGAAAAAAAAGAAGCCACGCAACAAGAAGTTGAATGATCACTTCATCACTCTTCAATGTGAAATCAAAAAGTACATTATTTTTTTGGCTTGGAAAGCTGGACATGCTACCTTTTAATCAACACCACTATTTCCTTCTTCCCACTGTATCTCCTGGTGGATGTTACATGGGACTGAGAGACTTCCTGTATCTGAATTTCTAATGGGTTAAGTTGGAGTTGCAATTTCTATTTTAAAGTGTGATTTTAGTCTGAAACAGGGAGTGTAAAGATGGAAATTGCTCTCTCAGTGAATCACAGTCCTGGCTGTTGACCTAAGTGGCAAAACCCCCTTTTTTCCTCTTGCAAGGATGATGCTGTTCCGGGGGACTGTGTTGGCTTTACTTCTGCCTCTCACCATATTGCCACAGCACTAGCTAGTTGCGAGGGTAAAATCTGTTCTCGTTTAGTATCTGGTGAACGTTCTTGTTTCTGATGGTGTTGGACAAGGTGGCCATGGGAAGACTTTTGCCCAAACTTTTTTACTTTTTTACAGTCAGGACGGATTTCAGTTTGTGGCCCCCAGCCTGGTAGCAGCTGCAGATCCAGCAGCTGGGATATCCTCATATGCTCTGAGCAGTTTTGCCCTGAGGTCTCTGGGAGGAAAACAAAAGGAATTCTTCCTATCTCCCAGCTTCATTTGGTTTATGTTTTGGAACACAGGGTACAAACTCTGTGCCTGAGTATTTGACCCTACTTGTCAAATATACAACTTTTTTTGACTTCAGTTAAATTTAAGCCAAGATGTCAGAGGGCAGATTTTGTCTCAGCCCATGCAAAATAGCCATTTTGATGCAATTTGGCCTGTTAGGTATGTTAATGCTAAACATATGAAATTATGCCTCCGTACATATTTTTCTCTGAGGCCTTCTAGCCACTTAACCTATGAATGACCCATAAATACATACACTTACTCAGGTCAGGTGGCCCTGAAGGAATTGTGAACATTTTGGCTATTACAGATATTATAAATAATTCCTGTTATCTTATTCAAGAAAACATGTTTTGTGTGTGCATGCAGTGAGGGGAGAAGGAAGGAGACCCCTTGAGCTTTCTTCTGAAAAGATGAAAACCAAAGCGCATCCAGCTCCCTTAGCCAAGCCCCGACACAAAGAAGTCCATCCTTGTGGAAATACCATAGTTGACCTATGTTACCATTCTGAGTTTTGTTTCAAGTAAAATACATCTTCAGTTATAATATCAGCATAATTTCTGTTGTATCATTTGTAATGGTGACTGCAAAATAGAAGACACCCGAAATAAAGCGTGCCAGCAGTCAGCTGAAGCATTTCCATTATCTCCACTTCCATAAATTTGTATCTGAAGGCATGTGTTTTTCTAAAACTGCTCTGTCTGCCTGATGACACGGCAGCACAAAAATTGCTGTGGGTGAGTAAGGCTATCCATCCACACCTAACAAATGAGTACCCTGAAAACTCCGCTGTGAAATGCTCTTCTCAGGATACTTTGTGTTCTCAAGGTCAGCCTGTTTCCTAACCCTTGTGTCCTTTTCCTTTCTTTCAGGGTTTTGAGGACCCCAAGGACAAGTAAGCAAATTCACTTCTGTCACACACTGTTATGTTTGCACATTTCGGATTTTTTTCTCATATTAAAAAAAGACAAAAATTAATGCCCGGCAGCCAAGAATAATGCCTGGACTCCCCAGAGGTTTCTTCTGGAGGGACAGCCAGTCGAGGGCACGGCCTTGACTGATGTGCATTCAGAACTGCCGCTGCCCCCAAAACATTTATTCATTTGTGTGGTTCTAACTTGCTTTTGTAATTAAAATTCTTTTGCTACTCTTCCCCTTGCCCTCAATATTCTTTGCTATTTGCTGCTTTGAAAATATCCCAAGAACAAAATCTTACTGTAAAGTATGTCTAAGTGTTGAATATCTCCAATAAGAAAACTTATGTATGTATTGAAAAATATATCTAGTTTCTGAGATTATTTATATGTATTTTATATTACTTATTATTACATATTACTTATCTCACTATATAAAAATGAACTCAAAAATGACAGCTTATTTGAAAAACTAAATTCAAACTTTCATGCTTTAAAATATGGCCACATTAAAGCAGCAATTTCTTTTTTTTTTATATAGAACTTTAAAAAAAATGGTTAAAATAACAATTTAACAAGACTGGTATTTTCAAAAATTGATTTTGGAGGAAAAAAAACCCAACCATATTCACTTTTTAACTTCTACAGCTGGACATAACAAAAGCATTTCCTGTATTGAAGGTGTTTTGAATATTTTCATGTTCAGTGCTACTGAATGGCATTAATTTTGAGCTTGATTAGAGCAAGAGAGGTGACAGTAGAGGAAACTGATGCCTAAAATATGTTGCTGATGCTCCTTATCATGTTTCTCAGGTTGCCAGTCAGGACTAAGTGGACCTCTGTGAGCTGGGACAGCTAAATGCTTCTGTGGGCCCTAAGTGTCTGGCTTTGGGAAAATTCACATTATGGTGATTGAGTATTGAGAGCAACTCCCTAAAAGTAAAGGGAAATGATAAGTTTGAATATGGCAATGTTAAGAATCATTCTCTCCTTCCCTTGCCCTTCACTACAAACTTGATTTTCATAACGTTTAGCTCTGTGCACCCCAGAATGTTTCGCTGGTGCTACAAGGTGTGTCACCAGGGTTTCTTCTTGCATCTGTGGCTGCTGGAAACTCAGTTGATGTTAGATATACTTTAGATGGAAAAAGAGCTAACAGATAACGTCAAAATAATTCTTAGGAATACAGAAATTTCAAATATCCCTCATGAAACAGCATCTCTCCTCATAGTTTGTGCAAGGAAACATAAATTCAGCTGCCTCAGTGTTGGTCCACAACAGAATTACACAGCTGGCAAAGAATGGCATCTCCACTGTTGCTCCAAGGACGGTAATGTCTCTCCTCCGTTGTATAGTTTGCAAAGGTTACTTGAGGTGTTACGGCCAGTAGCTAAGAGCTGTGTACTTACAGTGCTGATTCAGTGTGACACCATCTGATTATACAGACTGCAGGATTTTTGTGTTTCTGTTCAGCACCAAAAGAAGCTACTATTTGCCTCAGATTCTCTTGATCCAGAAATCTGTTTAACTCAAGAACTAAGATTCGGCCAAAACAAACCTCTAGCAGAAAATGTTCATGGTGATATTCGTTAAAATCAGGTACCTAAACCATGCTAAGCACTCCACCCAGTGCCTTCACGTCCAGGAACACTGAGCATCAATACTTTCCTCTTACAGCGAAGGAAGATGTAGGCACAACACATGTCTGAAAACAGGACTCGACACTTACATGCCTGAATGCAGATTTAGTTATTGAATCTAGGCATGCAGCATTTAAAATTATAGCATACGTGTAGTTTTGGCAGTGATCACACTCTTCATTTGCAGAAAGTAATTAAATCAGCAGAACATTTTTGGATTCCTCTGAAGCCAGCATCTCTGGGTTAATTGCTAGCGTTCACATTTGCGAGCAGAGTGCAAAGGTTGCTCCGAGCTCTGTTCGTGCTGTTCCTGTCCCTTGCAACAATTTTCTGTTGACTGCATTTGGAGAAATCTCAGACGTGCTTTTAAGAGGTGTTTCTGGGAGTTTCGTGACAGCCTGAAATCCTTGGTTTCCCCCCTCACTCACACGATCAATATATCAATAAGTATTTCCACGTATGAATTTCATTAGTCTATGGCAGTACCTTAGCTCTGACTTACAGGCACTGCCTCCAGGCATTCCTTAGCACAGGGAAATTTTGTATTTGAATTTAAAATTTAATTTATGCAGATCTACCCAAACTTACTGTACAGTAATTTAATTTGGGTACAACTGGCTGTAGAAGTCACCTGAGCAGCTAGGTGTATGCAGGTTGACTAAGCTTCCATGTGGTCTACGTGAAGATGGCTGCCGCACGGCGAATATCCCAGCAAGGCAATTGAAAACCTGCAGGGGTATTTCTACAACATCTGAAACCACAGAAGTTGCTGTAGTAGTGGAGATACCCTCAGCAGTATAATGACCTATTACAAAACCGGAGGCAACTGAGGCCAAAGCCCAAGCAGGCAGTTTCCTCTTCTCTTTGCATCTTCCTGAGTGACGCTTTTAGATGGGAATTTGAAATCTAACTGAGATTTGCCAAGATGCTGAGCCGACTCTTTTGCTTTAGTTTTGGGGGAAAACGTATTGCATCTCTCATATGTGCTATGAAATGACTAAATATGAATGACCCAAATATGTAAATAACCCACAGGATCTTGGAAGACATCCTGTAAATATGAAGCCTAATGATTTCCTTGCTCATTTTTATGAGTCCCAAAGACATTGTGAGAGCTGAATGAAAATAAACAGCATCATCTTGAATGCTCAGGCAAATGTACTTCCTATAAAGAAGCATCTAGAAGTAAATCAAATGTCCGTCCTTCTAGGGGCAAAACCACTTTTAATTTCAAAGTGGAATAAATACAGTTCAAGGAATTAAATAACTCTAGAGCCCGAAAATAAAAAACTTTCTCCATCTCCACTGAAATATTAAGATTGGCTAAAATAGAGATAAGACCTCGAAACAACCTAGGTCTGCAATGCCATATGGTCACTAAATAGATGCCATGGTGTGTTGTCATGACCCAACTGAGGTGTAGATGCGTTCAGCTCACTGGCTGGGACAGACGGAGTTGGAATGGAAACGAGTAGATAGACCTGATTTATTTGTCTGTTGGCAAGAGGTCCATGGTAGAGTTGGGGTACACAGGGCTTCTTGAAATCTAGTCCGTTTTTGCAGAAGGCCTTTGGAGACCCTTTCTTTTGGAAAGGGACCTTTTTAACTTTTCAAACAGTGTCACATTCTGGTGTGTAAGCTGCTTTGGGCGGTCTCTGCTCTACAGCACAGTCGTACCTGTAGGGGCCCACTGGCTGCAACACAGGGTTCGTGCGTTACGCACTGTCATGCGGTACAAACAAACCAAGAAAATAAAGCAGTGTAGCTTTTCATCATGCTTGTCAGACCTCAGGATTTTTCCTCCAGAGTGCCTAAGGGGAAGGTCACAGAACATGAGCTGTAAGTTGCTGTGCCATCATGGGGTTTGCACACAGAAGTAGTTATTAGTTGGAATATGCCCCAGTGCAAGTGGGGAGTGTATTCCAATGGATAACTATTGGCATATCCTGTGGATAACCTTAGCAATCATGCAAGCAGAGCAGAAAAACAGCACTTCAGGATTAGCTTTTAGTTTCTGCCTGTAGCTATTAAAGTGGCAGCATCAAGTCATTAAAATCCTGTTAGATTTTAAAAATAACTAGAAAGTTTGGAGAGGTACTTCAGGTTTCCTGATCCTCAGTGCAAAATGCCTCAGGGAGATTAAGTTTTCAGTGTTATTTTTACAACAGTTTTTGAAAATCAGCCTCATTTTTCTGAAGCTATAACTGAGCATGAGAAACACACTGATACTAAAGATTATAAGCAATTTAGAAATCTTGTTCCATGTATTTAGAAAGCAGAATCTAATTTGTATTTTTTTCTTTCGGTAACCTTTTTCTTTTGCAGCCTTTCCTTCAGTTAAGTAAATATCTTGTAAACAGAAAGTTTTGTCTGGTTTATACTTTACACTCAAATAACTGCCTGAAGGGGAGGCAGTGGGACGTCAGGACACATTTTTTTCCCCACATGTTTGTTCTGTGAACAGTTTTTTCTCAAAAATGGAGAATTGTTCAAGTTTGGAAATTTTCACATAAATATTTACAGAAATTATTATTGGAAGCAAGAAATACGACTGGTTGCATAAATCATTTTGCCAGTTCAAGCACTAACAGCTATGACAGCACAGCAGTGCAGGGAAGAGTAAGTCAGAGGACTAGTAGGAGACTACCGACCAGTTTTAGAGAATGAGGGACGGTACAGAGACTGCAAGGCAAGAAAACAGATGTATGTGGTATAGAAAAAGGGCAAGTAAATCAAATCCTTTCAGAGGTGGACTCAGGACTAGCAATGAGCTCTAGAGCTGATATCATTTTCCTCTCAGCTCATAATCCCTTTTCCGACTTGAAGCTGTCATAAGCAAAATGCCATTAACCTCCAGCTTGTTATGCAGTGAAATGATAACATATGGTGAAGAGGGGGAAATTATCTTGTCCTCTTATGCTCCCTTTTCTTGACATCCTCAGGAATACACAGGAAAGTATGAACCCAGAAGATGAAGTGGATGAGTTTCTGGGCCGTGCCATCGATGCCAGAAGTATTGATCGGTTACGCTCTGAGCATGTGCGCAAGTTCCTCTTAACATTCAGGGAACCTGACTTGGAGAAAAAGGTAACGTTGTCTAAAAATCATTGCAACATATCAGTCAAGCTTGTTGTGAGTTTTAATACCCCTACATAAGGTCAAGTTTTTATATCTGTCTGTAAAGCTAGGTTGTAGGTGTTGGAGGTGGGGTTGTGAACTTAAAAAATCCATGCTTCTTCATGGAAACCTGAATATCCATGTCCCTAGAAAGCCACAGTCATCCAAAGGGAGCACTGGGCAGGAAAATCGAGCCGTTTCTGTCAGACACACGAGTATACAATGATGAGCTGGAAAGGTAATCCAGAATAAACCAGATTTGTTTCTTTGACCTTCAGGCATCCAAACTGAGATTACAGTCGCCCCTTATCTCCCTCAAATCACTGGAGAAACCCACTTCTGCCTGCCTGAGCTCCAAATCACCTCTGGAGGGGCTTTTCCCTGCCCTTTGTTCCGCCTCAGGGAGCCCCAGGTACTACTACGGTTCATTGGGATGCAATTCGTACTCTGGTCATTTTTGAGAGCCCATTTTAAGCAACAAGTAGAGTTCTCTATCTCACAAATGCAAGAAAGGGGATTAACAGACCTAGGGCTCCCCAATAGCTGGTTGCTTCCTGATTTTGTTTCAGATATCATTGTTGTGAAGCAAAGATTATTTCAATTTCTCTGTCTACATAATAGAGACAGCATCTACTCTAGATGTCTGCAAAGTTAAATTCAGTTAAGTCCAGAGGTACCCAGATGCTGTTATTGAGGGCACTATATAAACTGCTGGTTTTAACTGCCCAAAGAAAGTCAAAGTCTTTTTTCTTTCCTTTTTTTTTTTATCCAAGCACAGCTCCTCGAAACACTTGAGTGGTGTTCAGATTAAACTCATTATTCAATGGAAAATGCTTCAGTAATAAGTTTGCACTAATTATTTATCATTTTGTTTAGAAACA